AAACTAAAGCACTATAAAAAGAAAAATTGGAACAAAGGGCGAAAGAAAATATGACATACCCGTAGTTGAAATTCTTATAGAAGTAGCTGCAGATCGTTAACTTCACACTGAAAATAATTTCAAAATGTTAATGCAATGCGGTGAGGAAACTTCAAGTTAAACCCACAACAGTGAAAGACAAAAATTAACAAATCTAGAAAGTTGATTCAGTCGGCTGCGAGGAAACTCATGTCATTTGGCTTTGAAGTTACAGTTTTCGAGGGACGAAAGCATGTAGGTGGAAGGGTGTACAAAAAAGATGGGAGGGGGAATAAAGTGACAACTGCTGATTTAGGAGGGATTGTTTTGACAGGTACACTAAGGAATCCTCCTGGTCTATTTGTACGACAATTGTCATATACACTTCATAAAGTGAGAGAGACTAATGTCCACTCTATTGTGCTGATGGAAAGTCCGTAGACAAGTATTTGGATAATAAAAAGGGGAGGTTGAGAAGAAAAAAATCGAGATAAGGTATACTTCAGATCTTTTTAAAGGCATGTCTAATGTTTATTAAGACACTGACAATCAAGAACTAACTTTGTTTTATCTCATTATGTTGTGAACACAAAATATCATGTTGCTTTTATATACTTGAACTTTATCATTTATGGTAAAGAATAAACTAATTTCTTTCTACAACCATCTTATTTATTCATTACATATTGTTTTTAGTATATTTTTAGTTTCTATTTATACCTGAGTTATTTTATTAGCTCTGGAAATAGCTATTCATTCCCTTTCTGGATCAACTCTATAATTTTGCTATGTCAACATTGTTTTGCATACTCACTTCATGCACTAAATGCTGAAGCTGAAATAAGATTAAGCAGACCAGACGGGTTAAATGCAACCAACAAGTGACACCAGTAAGTAGGGGAAAATTTAGTTGGCGTAATGTAATAATTGTGGGTTATATATCCTTTAGCAACAACAACAACAAACCTAGTGTAATCCCACAGATGGGGTCCAAGGAATGTAGAATGTACCCATACCTTACTCTTACCTTGAGAAGGTAGAGAGATTGCTTCGACTGAGCGAACAATGAAAAAGAGGCAACAATAACACGCCGATACAACAAGAAAATAAGACAGCGGGGTTAAATAATAACAGGTAGCAATAGTAATCTAAAGATAGGGAAAAGCAAGAAGAATAATTCTAACACTTTGAGAATGGGTAAAAAATACACCCGCCTACCTGATACCCTTCTATCCTAATCTTCAACCTCCAAACCCTCTTGTCAAGGATCATGTCTTCGATAAGCTGAAGTTGTGTCATATCCTACCTAATCACCTCATTTTGTGTTAATCATTACAAACATGTTCTGTTTTTATTTATGTTGTTTACTACTGTTGCATATATTAGACTTGAGGCTAAGATTTATTGTATTTTGTGCTTAAAGGTGTTGTAAAGTCAAGAACAACCACTGTTAAGTAAAAAATAGTCAGGTATGAGTCCTTCCCCACCTCTCTTTCCTATTTCTTTTTCTTGTTAAGAGTTTCAACTTCTTCATGGATCCCTTTTTTAACTTGTTTCTCAGGAAGGCTAAAAACTTTGGCAGAGGCATCGGAACCACTTTATCTGCTGGGGATATCAGAACTAATGTAGTCGCGAGCTGCTTTAGCTCTATGCCTCTGGCAAGTAAAAAATTGCCTTCTACTGGTTTGTGATAAGGGATCTCACTTCCTCTAAGTTTGAATATTCTCGTAATGACAACATTGGGTCTAAACCATTGGGTAGTGGTTATGGATATGTGCTTCCCGTCCTGAGAAAATTTGTTGCCTGATCTTGCTTGCCTTATCCAAAAGTCAGTTATAAGCAACCTCCACTTTTTTATCCAAATACTCATCTACGGGATTTCCATCAGCACGATAGAGTGTGGGCATTGATCTTTCACCTTATGAAGTGTATACGACAACTGTCGTTCCAACAGACCCAGTGGATTCCCTAGTGTACCTGTCAAAACACTCCCTCCTAAATCAGCAGTTGCCACCTTATTCCCTCCTTCCATCTTTTTTGTGTACACCCTTCCACCTACACACTTTCGTCCCTCCAAAACAGTAACCTCAAAGCCAAATAACATCAGTTGTCTCGCAGCCGCCAACCCAGCAAGACCTGCCCCGACAACAGTCTCTCCACCCTTTCTTGGATCAACTGGAATTTTGTCCTTAATTGCCAATGCCACTCCAAAATTAATATATCCATATGATAACAAGTAGTTGTACGCAGAATCTAATAGACCATTACAGTGTTCAGGTATAACATCAACAAACATATCTTTCGTCATCCAAATCGACACATTTTCATGCCATTTGGTACTAATATGATTTCTGATTAAAATGTAGTTATCCTATTCTATCCCGCCAACTACAGAAACAACCCTAATTTCACTTTCGTCATTCGTTAACGACTCAGATAAAAATCCAGCAGTTAATTCAATTAAAGCCTCAGAAGTTGGCTCTTTGTTTATAGAAATTATCTCAACAGAAACAACTCGCCTTCTTGAATTTGTACTTTTGACCACCTAAGAATTAACATTCGTGTTTGCAAAACTGGAACTTTTCACTCGGGGTTTGCTAAATTTATCTGAAGAAGATGAAGACAGAAATGCAGACTGTTCGTCATTGACATTGTTGGGAAAATTACTGGATACTTGGCACAAAGGCAATTTATTGCTTGGCCTACATTGTTTTCTCTTCATGGGAAAGGATGGAGATGATTCGGGATTGAACCGGAATTAGGGTTAGGATTAGAATTTTGGAAGTGAATTGAAATTGGGAGAAAAACTAATGTTCGGGTTTGAGTTAGGAAAATAAACTGGGAATTGTTTCACTAGTACTATGCAAACTTTTGATTGAGCTGCTATTTTTGCAAGAATCGCGGATGCTGGCTCTCTTAGAGTCATGATCACTGATGTCACGGAGAAAAGAAGTTGTAGCAGAGTAGCAACAATGCCCGGTTTTACCAAACATTGAACGTTTGCTTTTGAGGCAGACAAGTTGTGCAACGCGTTAAGAGACGATTGCTTAGCTTCTAGGTTCTCAGAGGCGAACATTTTGACTAGCGGTTCAACGGCTCCATCTTTTCCCTGGTTAGCTCTATTTTTTATCTGTGAGTTCCATTCTTGAATTGTTGTTTCCATTAGAATCTTACTCATGTCAGAGCCTACGATTGATCAAATAGCTTATTAAACTGCATATAATTTATATCAACGAATAGAATGTGTTGTAAAACCTCATGATCTACCTTACTAACTCATTTAAGGCCTCTTTGTATCATTTAAGGCCTCTTTGTTTGACGGTCTTGTCAAATTATCAAAATACTGTAATGTTATAACAATATGTATAAAATTAGATGGGAAATGAAAAACTTTACATAAATAACAACTGTGTTAACATAAAAATGGATATATAAAAATATTAAGAAAAGAGTGAAATAAATTAAAAAAATTATCCCAACTTCACTTTTTTAAGCTCCAAATAATTGAATTCAGAAAAATAATTGTCTGATACGGTGGAAGAAACCAAATTATCACCTTGATCGCGACGTGATAAAAGAGTGTCGACTTATGTTGTCCGAACTTGGGATCTCCATGATGCATACTCTAAGGGAAGGAAATAGCTGTGCGGATCACCTGGCGAAACTGGGAAGAATGCAACTAGATGAAGAACTTGTAATATTACATCATCCGCCACATTCCATGCACCAACTTCTTCTCGCGGACATGGCTCACATTGCATACCCTAGGTACCGAAAACATGTACGATAGTTTAGTACATATAGCACAAAAGAAAAAAATATATGAAATTGTACGTAAGCATTTGTTAATATTACAAAGAATATAATGAAATATATTTTTGTTAATTCATTGTAGGATTTATGTTTATGTTTGGTTGTGTATATAAATGATGAAGGACCAGTGTCTATTTTCTTGAAATCAATGTTCATGGGAATACCTTGTTTCATATTGATTGTCTTTTTGTTTTTTCAATCATGTTAGTTGTCTCGATTTTAAATTTTGGGACTAAATTCATAGCTAGAATTAATAAAGACAATAAAATCTATATATATTCTATCGTTCCTAGACGGCTATAAGATTAGACTTGATTTTTGTTGAACTCACTAGTGTACTTGACGGTCTCGTCAAAGTATCAAAATAAATGTAGTAAGATTTTACATTATGTATAAAAATATTTGAATGAAAAACTTTACATAAATAATAACTGTGTTAACATAAAAATTGATATATAGAAATATTAAGAAAAGAGTGAAATGAATTAAATTTTTGTATCCCAACGTTGAGGGGGAGATAAAGTTGCTTTTCACCTTTTTAAGCTCCAGATATTTATATTAACTGAATATTTGTGGCTTTTTTTATTGTATAAATAATTTAATTGTTCAAAATTGAAGATATATATTTGAATTTTTTTTCATATTTGCCTTTTTATTTATTGAAGTTTTTTATTTCTAGGAAATAAATTACACTATTTATAAAGTTATATTTATTATTTCACAAAGGGCAATAGTGAAATTATAATTTAAATTAAGTCTTTAAATGTTAATATTCCTTCCGTCTCTATTTACTTGTCAAATATTTCCTAATTTAATTTTCCTTCTTACTGAAATTATTGACAAATCCTCGAATGCATGGAGTCCTATTTCACTTTTAGGTAAAATATCTTAAGTATTTATTCCTATTTTGATTAGAGATTAATTATTTTGTTTAATTTTAGTAACTTAAAATTACCAAAACAAAATCATATAGTGTGAAATTAGAATAATACTTCATAAGATTACCATTTCAATTAGTCAACACCATAGATAATAATCAACACAGCTACTTTGTTCAATTACATTTTTTTTTAAAAGAATTATCAACTAAACTGGAGAAAAAATGAATAAGAATTTTCCTAACTACTCTTTTAAGTAGAAATGAAAAATATTGAAATAGAGTCATGTACTAGCCATATCATTGTCTTTGAGCAACTCCAACCACCTCTGTTGCCTCAAATTGAGATCCCTCTGTTAGCACAACTTTCAAAAACTGAATCTCATTTCCACATTTACCATACTTGAGCTAAAAAATGACTCAGATCCCTGCACCAACAATAACGAAAACACAAATTTAACAGGAATATACACAACATTTTGGCTTTTGACATATATAGTAGTTTCATATACAACATAGTGTGGTACTAATGACTCAATACAATAAAAATCAAAAGATTTCAATTACTAGGGATGTATTGTTCAGGTCAACTCATTAGTCACATTTGATTATTCGATTCGTTACCTGTCACCTCCTACCAACACAAGTACTTAAACATATGTGAAAAAATTGCAAGCACTTCATTGACTACTAGGCCACACCCTCGGGTGTGTACTTGTGTGCTATGATTATGACGTTTTCACCAATTCAATTTTCCCAATTTAATAATTTGATCAGTGGATTGTCTCAAGTATATGAAGAAAAAAACAGATGCAAGGTTTACCTTACCTTAAGAAGCATCATCATCCGAACTAGAATCATCAATTCTCCTATCTGTGATAGCTGGAAAAAGCTTTTGTCGAAGATCGAGGGGAGGTGGATTGGTGGACTCTGAAGTTTTACTTGCCACATTCTCCTTCTTTGGCGTGCCGTTTAGCTTTCTCTGAGCATTTTTCACCTCTATGCATACCTTATCTAATATTATCAGACTTGATGCTAGACATCTTTCCCTGCATTTCCATGGAAATAATCCCCTGTGCTTTTTTCTTGATCATCAGACTTGAGGCTAGACACACTCCCTCGATCTCTGGTACGGGCAGCTCGTATACCTTCTGAACGGATTATCTCTTGAACAACAAAATACAACAACGTAGTTTTGCCGTCTATTCCTTTTACATCTGATAGTTTCAGAAGCGTGTCAAGTTTAAATGCTTGAGCACCACCACGAAATGTTCCATCATTCATACGATTGCCAGTTTTCAAAACAGCCTCAAGGAGCTTGTGAAACAACCTGCTCTTCCGTAGTTCCGTGCAAGCAGCCTGAAGCATAAAATAAGATGCACCAAACACCAATATCAGGATATTTGTAGAAAACAAAGGGATGTCAAGGCTACAAATGTAAGGTGCAAGACAGATTCTGCAATGATATACTCCCTCCGTCTCAATTTGTTTGTCTTACTTTCCTTTTTAGTCTATTTAAAAAAGAATGCCTCTTTCCTTTTTTGGCAATTGTTCAATTATTACTTTCCATAAAGGTTGTTTTAGTACATTCTACATATCAGTGTTATCAAAGGCGAAAAGCGCAAAAAAGCTCTATTTGTTGGGGCTTTAAGCCTAAAGCGCAAATAAAGTGTAGGCTTTTTGTACCAAGAAAAAGAAAGTGTAGGCTTTAATAAAAAAAGGCGCAAAGGGAGAAAAAATACATAAATATATGTTCAGTCCAAAACTAATCATTATAAACATGAATGACAAATATATGAACAAAGAAATTGAAAAAAGATTAAGATAAAGGAAAAATATGCCTTAGAACCTTCATGAAGACACTAAAGAAGTTAGGAATATTTATTCATAATCCAACAGTTCATCACAATCAGGAACATTTATCTCACCTCCAAAGTAGCAAATGATTCTTTAGCCATTGATGCCTCCTCCTCAAGACTGCACATAAAGAGCAAGGATTCTAGTCTCTTGAAGGCAAATGGAATATCAACCAAGACTTTCAGGAATCGTTCCGCAGGTCCAAGCCGAGAGAGATCCCCATTGTAGAGCCTCAGCTTCAATTCTTTGTCAGCAGTTGGTGCCATCTTAAGCAAAGTTTGAAGGAGTTCAGATGGAAGCTCATTTCCTGAGTCAGAATAAAATATTAGTCACTGTTGTCATAGATGCAAATATACAACAACCTGATATTTCCAAGAAATTGACCCAACCAATATACAAGTATACTAATATTTTGCCACTTGACTGTGAGGGAAGTACAAATTCTTCTTACAAGAAGTATAATCATTCTGATCATGATAATAGTGACCTGTCCTGAATCGGTGCTAATTTTTTTTATTTTTGAAAGGACATTTTTAAGATAATGTACACTTAATGCTTATAAAATTCCATCAATCAGATTGGTCAATGACCATGTAAAGTACGATGCTCAGCAAAGCCGCGACGATAATATGATGTTGCAGATAGATAATGTTCATAGCAGGAGTAAAGCTTATCTTTAAAGTACACGTGGTTGCAGAACCACAGATGTAGAAAGGCACAAATAGTACAACGAAGGGACAATGGCCTTCTTAATGATAAGATGAACAAAGACATGAAGGGGAAGAAACAGAAAACAAGGAACAAACATATGATAAATGAACATTTATCACTGTTGAGGTCGATTACAACCCTAGTTAATCACAATAATAATACCCACATGTGCAAGATGACCTTTTTTTAGGGTGGGGGTGAGGTGGGAGGAACAATAAGGTTATAAAGACGATCAATTTTAGTGTTTCTTTATCTTGATATATTGAAGGGAACAGGAGATCACCTTCTTTAAGGGCATCACAAACTTCTTCAGTTGTCACGTTTAAGGCAGTTATCTAAATGCTTCAGGGAAAAGACAAACCTAACACTACTGCGAGATTGGTTATCTTGGCAGGAGGTAGTGGGGGAGGGGCTGGACTAGTAGGATCTTCAAAAGGATTTATCCTACCGGGTGGAGGCTTAAGCGGAGGCTGTACCTGCATCCCCATTCTTCCAGGCGGTATCTGCTCAGAAACCCCTGCTGCAGCCACAGCAATGCCCGTAACATTTCCCCTTTCTGTATCCAACCCCACAAACCTTGCAATAGCATATAAAAAAGAGTGCAACAACAATAAATGTGACTGCAGCAGTCACAAGAACTGCAACCAAAACTGTTTTAGTGCTGCTTTTTTTCTTATTTGATTGACCATCTGAAGTAGAGTTTTGACTAGTAGAAGACTGATCACTAGGAGCAGAGGTTTTGCTTGAATCATTGTAGTCTCGAGGAAAAAATGGCTGCGTAGGATGACGGGCAGGTGGCAGAGAATTGGGAGTTTCAGAACTGGAAGTAGCTGGAGCTGGTGCATCTCCAACCTGAAGAACATCATCATCGTGACTGACTCTCATGAAGCATTGATTCTCATGAGTAAGGGAGGCGTTGTCGACAATCACCCCGATCATTTCCCTTTTTACTTATATTTTTGACAAATCCTTGAATGCGTTATGTGCTATCATTATAATAATTTCATGAATAAGGTAGGTTATATGTGTCTTATTTGATCACTAAATTGAACATATTTTATTGTTTAGAAGCTTAGAGTCGTCCTAGTTGTATTTTAGTGTTGAATTCTACAGCGTCCAAAACCAGATTTCAAAATCTCATTGTATGCGTCCTTGAAGCTACCAGCCTTTCCATACAAATCAATCAAACTATTGTAAGTGGCAGTTATTCAAGGTCTCCTTCTCAATTTCTGATACATATAATATTCCTCCTGATCTGAAAAGCTTAGTCAACAAAAACTAGCTTCAAACAAAAAATTTACATAGTCAAATCAATATCATCCAACTCAATCTTCCCAGTAAATTAATCCTTATAGGAACCTATATATCTGCTCTATCATAGTACCCTACATCCTTTAAAATAAAAATTGTATTCTTGTTTCCTAGACCTTAAGATTTAATTAGCCAGAACGTAGATTAAAGGTTAGTGATTAGCGCAATTGAAAGTTTAGGTATATATACAGATGAACACTCTTTCCCTGTTATATATTGTGAGAATGTACGTACATCAATGCAGGGTTGATCGATTATGCAAATACGATTTTTGAAAAGTGTCAACTATATATAAACAAATGAAAATGAACATCATCAAATCAAATTAAAGTAGGATGCTCAACCTTGGTGACCAAAAGAACGTCAATTATGTGAACCATGACATTACTCGAGCAGTGAGCAGACTATTCCATTCCAATATGCATTTGGATGTTAACCAAGGAAAACAAAACAACATAATTAAGAATGTCATGATCTATCTTAGCTTACAGGCTAACCACTACTATATACCTATAGAATTTGCAATTCGTTATTGAAGCCAGCTAAAGTCGTCAATAATGCTAGAGCCTTTAAATAAAAGCCTTATTACTGTAAAGAACAAGTATTCCCATCTCATCTCAGTAATAGCATCAAATCTATTCCCATCATTTATTTATTTATATTTTTGCTTAATTTCTACATATATCATAACAGAAGAATGAAGTTCATGTTTATACCCAATATAATTTCTTAAGTGAATTCTAGAATTGTATAAAAAGGATCGAGGAAAACTTTGAAATGCAACATGGACGAATACAAATACTAAATAACAAAACAAAAAGTGAAACGATTCGATTAGTCGGTACATATATATTGATCAATGACTTTGATACAAGGAGTAGGCTAGTGAGGAGACTATATGATGAAATCGGGCATAATATTTGTAGTTGATATGTGTGCTTGCAAGAAAAACACTGACATGTTGAAGGAGGCGGCAAGAAATTACAATATTAACAAAATGGAGCAGCAGTTGAAAGAGCATGTTTACAAAATTTGGAGCATAAAAAATACTACCAAATTAGTTCAGCAAATTAAATGTCAATTTCTTAATCTCAAAATGACAGAAAATTAGCTTAAAAAGTAATCGTTATTTTCTATCTCACTCTTCCGCTCGAGTATTACCAAACCACTCTCTACAGAACTGAATGAAAATAGAGAAAACTAATGCACGATAAAAAGAAAAATTGGAACAAAGGGCGAAAGAAAATATGACATACCCGTAGTTAAAATTCTTATAGAAGTAGCTGCAAATCGTTAACTTCACACTGAAAATAATTTCAAAATGTTAATGCAATGCGGTGAGGAATGTCACGCCCCGAGCCTACACCCTGGGCGGGACCGGCACTCGGAGACCATTGCTGGCCCCAAGCGAACCCTTGGCCTGGCTTTCTTAACTCAGCGGAAACCTGACTCAACAGAAAACTCAATGCCATGCAAAGACATAAACAACTTAACTGATACATATCTGGCCAAAAAGGCAACTCGAGTCTCAAAATAGAATATTTACATATATACATAGATAAGAGACTCAAAACTAACTGACTGACTGTCTATGAAGCCTCTAAAAATACTG